CATCGCGCGCGAGAGTTCAACCACTAGGGTTGTGGATTAAGTGAAAATTTGATTTGAATTTTAACCCCGATCAAGTTCACATGAGCCATGGACAAAATTTTGGATCGAATTTTTTTCGAGTTAATTTTGAATCTACGAAATTAGATCTTTAATAGTTATAGTGATTTTAGGGCTGTTTATTTAGTTAATAGCTCGAAGATTGTTAATCGCTCGAAGATTGATTTGAATTTTGAGTCTGATCAAGAATCGATCGAAATAAATGAGCCGAGCTATGAGGCAAAATTCTAAATCAAATTTTTTTCGAGCCAATTTTGAGCCGACTCTAGCTCAACTCAATATCATAACGTTAACAAATTTACATGCCGCAGACTTACCACCGGCTGACATGGTTGTGGCATTTTAAGGTTTGTTTCCCTTTCCAATCTGCGGCTTTTTCAAGAACTCTGATCTTGTAGCTAATGCTGTTGAGGATTTGATTTTGAGCTGAGTTCGTTCAAATAAATTTAGTGAGGTTTGAAATCGGCATGTGATTCGTTATATTAAATTTTGAGCCGAGCTGACTCAAAATTGAATTGAGCTCGATCCAGCTAGAATCGAAACATGTAAGCTCAAATTGAATTATTTGGATATGTTCCAAGTCTAAATCCGCTCAAATTGGCCCTTGATACGTTATATTCAACTTTACTTATATATATATATATATATCTATGTATGTATGTATGTATGTATGTATGTATGTATGTATGCATGCATGCATGCCACCTTAACCATGCATGAAAAATGCATTTCACCTTTTGATAACCGAAATAGTGATATTTTTAATTTGATATAAAACATTTGAATGATAAATATAAAAATTAAAATTTGGCTGTTAAATATATATGTAATTATTTATGATATAAATATTTATAATTTAAAATTTAAACCAAAATAAATCTTGTAATATGAAGCTCTCTGCTCGAGTTATAGGAAGATTTTTCATAGGCAGTCGTCTGCAATCATCTTATACTTTAACCATAAACTTATCTCGTTGATCGCCCGAGACTCTCTCAGACTTAGGTTCTTCATAACTTCGTTGAAGATTCTCTTGTTGGCGACATTGAGAAACAACTAGAGTTGTATCATGCTGACTTATACCCGACCCCTCTTCTTTAGATCGTATATAAGGTGGCTATAGCACCCGACGAGTCGTAACACCGATCATCACAAGTTCAAAATTCATATTCCGACTTTGTCAGCTTATTTTATCAAACAATCTGCTTTGTTGTTCTGACCGCACTACGAAACAAGATCTATATCTCTTGCTTTGTAGTTCATTGTTTTTAATATCAATGAGTGATAAACTTTGTAGTTCATTGTTTTTAATATCAATGAGTGATGTGGGCCCTACTAGCACATGTAATGAGTCTAGATCAACCATTGTGGCAAATAAAATGATCCTGAGTTAGTTCATTAGTTCATTAGTTCAAGGAATATTATGAAAAGATAGCCAATTTGGTTCAGAAAAAATATTACATCAGGAGTCTTGTTGCAAAATTGCATCTTCATTACGCCACGTCACACGATGCATACTCCAGATGTAATATCTTTTTTTCCTAGGTTTTGACTTTAGTTGTACTTAGAATAGTTTTTCTCTTCATTTAAATGTGAACTGACTATGACTTTTTTCATCAGTTTCAAACATCATACCAAATCTTCATGAATGAAGGAAGTCAACGCAAAGTTTATAATTTGCATTTTCATTTGAGTATATATATATCTAAAATAAAAAGATTAGCTTCAAATAAAATAGTGGTTTTGATCTGATGATCGATGACTATAATTGTCAAAATGATTCGTCATTCTCAAACAGCTCGTGTTCAATTCGTTTGCTAAACAAATAAATCAAACACACATAATTTTTTTGCTCTCAATATATAAATAAACCGAACACGAACAGAAATTTGTTTGCTCGTATTCTGCTCAAACACACGAGAATTATTTTTAAAAATTTTTTGCTACAAGGCTACAAAGATCTATAATCAATTGAAATAACAAAATAAAAATAATATATATATTAAATTCTATTTAAATGAATGTTTTGATATAACTATTAAGATTTAAATCTTGCCCATGCTCTTAATATCTTAAGGCTGTCAAAATGGCTCCTTGTTCACAAACAACTTATGTTGGGCTCGCTAAACAAAGAGAAACATGAATCATTTCTTTTTACGAGCCAGCCTGTGTTCAAGTGGTCGACTTGTTTGCACCAATATCGATGATCAATCGATTAACTATAGGATGCCTTTTCGCATGCCATGTTTAAACAATTGAGGATTTTATAAAAAAAGAAAAATACTAGATGAAATTTTATCATGAACTCTAATATTTATGTGAGATTTTTAAAAAAGAATTAAAAATCGTCGCTAAATTTAGAAATTAGAACCAATGAGAATAAGCCAATGAGCCATATTGAACTTAAATGAAATTTGTATTAGATTAAACACCATCTATATTTTAAATTCACTCGAATATCAAAAATTCATGATAAATCATCAACCCATTTTTTTTTTTCATTTTTATTAAATCCTCAACAATTTTTGTTTAGAAAAATGTGGGTATGGGG